GTTTTGTTTAGCTCGCCTTCAACATACCTTTCATTGGACCCACTTCAGATGAGGACCATCTGACTACAGTGATGTGGCGTCGCAGCGAATGTCGTTTTGCTCTGCGTGAAGACGAGTCAAAAACAGCACGTCCCTAAAAGTGACATTTCCACCAAAGTCCTGACCAAACACTGGCGCTGCTTCTACTGTGACTGGAAGGTTTGCTGTCGGACGTCTCCAGAAGCACAGAGTCTCTCGTTTTGAATGTAAACACTCCAGAAGCCTTGTGTGTCTGTTTTTTTACTGGTGCAGCCCCCAGTACAGCCAGACCAGTCCTGCTGCCTTCTGATCCATGTCTTCAGAGCTTCGAGGCGGTTTGTGGGGGTAACATCAGCAGACCATCAACAAAACCTGTTGAATGCTGCTGGATGAGGCTCGTCCCCCCCCCCTGAGTGTAACTGTATGAGCTTTGTATGTGTTGCCTTGTTGAGGTGTGTGTACGCAGAGCTCAGTTATTAATGTTTTAGTTTCAGACTGAACTTTTTCCTTCATCCGTTCTGGTGCATCTGCGTTCGAGTCGTCCTCTGCCTCGTTTCTTTTTATTTATTTCCAGTGCTTTGCTTTCGCAGCATTATGCACTCTATGCAAATTATTTATTATGTTTCTACGAAGGCAGCAGAACGTGTGTGTTTTTATTTCATTTTTCATGTTTATTTCCAAACATCCTCAAACCTCAGAAGCAGCTACTTATTTTTAAAAAAATCTGTTCAAAATGTCCTGCAGTATTTATTTTGTGCCATAATAACAAATGTATAGTGAAAAATGTTTTTTGATATTTAAGACTTGATGAAAACTTCAGTTTTTTTTATGTTGCAGTGCTTTACATAAACAAGGCAAACTGTAAAGGATGAAGAGTGGAGTTGTGCCTTTTAGTTCCAGTGTACATCATGGGTGTACGCGTCGCTGTAAATGTTTTTTTTTCCTCCAATGAGCTGGAATTAACCTCGAACATGGACAGACATGCTTTACTTTACCAAGTTCTGGTGAAATGCCCAGACTGGAATCTCCTCTCATCGTTTGGGGAAACAAAACCATCTGAACACTGGTTGGCATTAAACATTATTTCTGTCATCATTCCCCATTAAAAGGGACAAATTTAGGAACGTTAAGATGTATCATGTATGAATCAATCATTAAAATTAAAAAAATGTTTCTAATCCTTCGTGAAGCAATTAAATGTTCCTTTTCTTTCCCTAAGTGCCCAGCAGGAAGTGCGCTGCATAAAACAGGAAATCAGACTTTTGCTGTATCCAAATCTTTATTCAAATCATTTATAAAGAGGTGAAATGATTTTCGTATAGAAAATAAATCCTGGTCTTTGGTTTTACAAATGCTAAAGTCCCCACTATAGAAAAATAATTTGTGTAAATCAGTTTCACATTTCTGTCATTTCCATCAGACGTGAAAAACTAAACACTGACGATGATGTCACTGTAGTCCGCTTCCTGTTTCAGCACGTCGGCCACCCAGTCCGACGACGAGCTGACGGCTGGACTACCAAGTGACATCAACAGTTTGAGTTTTTGATGTCACGGACAGGATTTCTCTGAGCCCTGCTAGATCGCCATGGCAACATAAACACATCTCCTGCTCCACGTTTTCACGAGTTCTTAACGATGCTCGATGCGGAAAAGTCAAGACGACCGTAATACGTCACGTTTCTGTTCGATGCTGTAACGTTTTAAATTAACGTCCGGTCGTCAAATAACACCATTTTCTTAAAGGTCAGTCGGTGAACATTCAAGTGGAAAACAACACCGGCTTGTAACGATCACATAAAACCAGCCTTTAATCAGGAACATTATTTAACATAAAGTGTATATTTTAATTTAACCTTTATTTAGACAGGTAGTCTCACTGAGTCTTGAGGACTCATTTCAAGAGACCTGTTTCGGTGGTGGTTGGGGGCCTTGCTCAGGGGCCCAGGGTGGAGGCAGGTGTGGGTGTTTCACCTTTTCCACCCACATTTGATGTTCAGTCCTGGGAATTGATTCAGCGGTCTTCTGGTCACAGCCCCACCACTCCCCCTGTATGGACTCGTATATAAAATCATCCTGATGAGCAGAACTTCAGTTTTTAAACCAACTCGTTCGTTCTCAGCAGGCGAGACCACGACCTCATGTGTAATCCAGATTATTTCTTCAGTCACTTCTGTGCAGGATTACAAACTATTGTTCACAATCACACCTAGTGACAATTTAGCGAAGCCATATGAGTTTGTACTAAGAGTTTTCTTCTGATCTGGATATGCATATCTGCATATGAAACATGTTCTGCACCACTCTCTTGTTCTCTTTGTGGAACTGTTTTTTTGCCCGTCAGGATTTTTATAATCTTCACTTTCCTTTGATGCATCCTACTGTTCTTTAGGAGAGAAGATTTTTTTCCCTGTAATTTTCTTTAATTGCTATATTTTGGGTGAAAATGGCATGAAATGAGTGAAATGCCCCTCTTCATGTGAACTCACACAGAGAACAAATAAATTAAGCACATAAAACAGAACTACCGTTGCATCTTGGGAGTTTTAGGTTCCGCTGCTCCTCTACACCTTCACCGGAAACCACTCTTGTAAATTCACACCTGTGATTTGTCAGTTGACAGAATACGTTAAAAATACTTGTTTGTTTCCACACATGCACTTGGATCTTACGCTCCCAGATCTAGAAGGAAAAAAATAAAATGGGAACAACTGAACCCCAGCAGGAAAGTTTATACGGACATGAAAGCTAAAACACGTGACGCCAATTAAAATAAAATAAAATGTGAAGCTCTGGGAACTTGTAGGGGTGAACTGGTGGGTGTGTCAGTAGATCTGCAGGTGGGGAGACGTGGCCCCGTCCCTCCACTGGTGCACCTGGTCTGTGATGAGCGTGCGGCAGAGCGGGCAGCTCTTCTCCTGGTTGAACCACAGAGCGATGCACTCGTCGCAGAAGATGTGCTGCTCAGCACGACGACAATCACAGAAAGAAAACGTTCAATCGTTACACGCAAACCACATCTGTACAGAAATGGTGATTTAAACAAGTTATGATTTGTTTGCTGTCGGTCAAATTTAGAATGGAGTTAAAAAAGTAGTATTTGATTTTTGATTCGAAACAAGTCGAAAGAAAAAGTTTTTTCTGAAGTCCAAAAGGGTTTAGAAGGATTTCTAAAATCAGTGGATTCATTTAAAAAAAAAAAAAAACAACTAAAATTACTACTGAAGAGAAAAAAGGGTTTTTGCGGAGTCATTAGTCTGTTAGCAAAATATCTTTTGGCTGCTCCCTTCATCACGAGGACGCTACAGCGAACCAACTCGCACGAATACCTGGTGATTGTTTTTACACCAG